TTATTTTTGAATGTAACTTTTCGTAACATTCTTTAACAATCGGCAACTCTTTCCAAGCTTTTATCTTACTTGGAGTTACTTTTATATTTATTTTCGGGAGACTCCTAAATACAAAAAATATAGAATGTCTGATTTAGATAGATAGCATCCTTCTTCTGAACTGATGCTTTTCTTTTAACTTTAAAATAATTCAAAATCTTTTGTTAATTTTTAAGATATCTATAATATATTCAGTAAAACTTACTCTTCTTTTAAGAATTAAATCATAATAAAATATCCAGTGACTATTTTTCTAACCTTCAAAAAGTTCTAAATATTTTTTTATTAAGTAACTTGTCGCAGTTGCTTTAAGAGTATTATCATTCAGAAATATGTTTTTAATTGACTTACTTGTAATTTCTTCAACAATTTTCTTTTTTTCAAAATATTATGAATGAAATAGTTTTTTTTTATAAAATAAATAAATAAAATAAAATAAAATATTTACTTTAATAAATGTTGAATTATACATATCATCGCTTTCTTTCATTATTTTGTTTCTCTCCATCATTTTTTGGATGTCTGAAACTTCCTTTCGAAGGTACCAACTTCCTTATTAATTTTTTTTAAATAATCTAATACATGATCTTGCTTTCTTTTTCTTGTTAACAGAGGTTCTTCTCCTAATAAAATAAATTATATATTATAAAATATTTTTATTAAAATTTTTTGAAATTTTTTGAAAATTACCATTGAAATACTGTTCTTCCCTTTCTTCTTCAGTCCTTTTTCTTTTAGTTGCACAAGCTAGTAATAATTTCTGTGATTCTTCATCAAATAGTCCTATTAATACATCCTCCATTTTACTTTTCTTCCTTTCTCTTATAAATGATGTTGATGTTTCTACTACTACCAGAATAAATGCTGTTGTCAATATCTCACTTCTTTTTTTTATTCTTTTAAATAAAAGATCAGAAATTCTTCCTTTATTTTTTTTTTATTTTTTTTTGATAAAAGCTAATTAAAGTTTTTATGACATTTTGAAAATTTTTAATAAGAATTTATTTTAATATTTATTTATTTGCAAATATTTTCAAAATTTTTATGGTA